TTTACCAACTCAGATGAACTTTCATGCTGATGAGCGTTGTTGATCTGGTTCAGGTGTATTTGTCATTAATTCGCCCCGTCAAAGCTATGCTGAACCCTGATCACCCTCTGCGCGACCTTGTTCCCCCTGAACGTGCGACTGCTACAGGGTACAGGGAGGCAGCTCAGGAACAGCAACACGTTCACTCTGCCTAAAGCTAGGACCCTGCGCCTGAAAAAGTCCTTCACACATTGTTCAGTGAGACTCTACAATGTCAGTGACAATGGCTTATATTTGAAAACCTATGCCTGCTATTTCCTGTTGTAGAGTGAATGGTGTTTGTACATATTTGTATATAGTGTTTCTGTCTACCTGTCCTGTCATGTTTTGTAACCAAATGTAAAAATCAATTACATAATTCAGGGGTGCATTACCTTTCCCTGCTTTTGTATGATTTTGTTGGATTTGAATAAATAAATTGTACCGGTAGGCGCGCCCGTCCCGGGAGAAGTACACCACGTTTCCGTCCGAGTCGTACGTGTAGGTGCGCCCGCGCGGCGTCCGGTACCGCTCGCTGCCGCCGAACACCACGTACACCACCTCGCCGTCGTCGTCATACCTGAAGAAACCGTAAGAAACAGAAGGAGTGAATAGAAACAGATAAAAACCCTGGTCCCAGGCCGGGGTTCGGCCGGGGTTCGAACCCACGACCAAACCCGGGCACCAGTCCACATGCCGATGCTCTAATGATTCGGCTAAAAGGTCTAGATGTCGTCTAGATGGGCCTAGACGGTGGTGGTTGTCTAGACCCATCGGCTGGTTCAGTTGGTAGCGCCTACAAACCCAACACTGTTACACTAGATACTCCGCCTTTTCTTTTCAAGATTCGTCCTCGAATCTTCCGAATTCGACATCCCTGGAGCGGCACTCTTAGCCAGAACTCCCAGGGCCGGTGTGGGAACCACTGTAAGAAACAGGACGAGCGAGTAGAAACAGATTTTAAAAAAACCTGGTCCGGGCCGGGGTTCGAACCCACGACCAAACCCGGGCACCAGTCCACATGCCGACGCTCTAACGATTTGGCTAAAAGGAGCGAGTAGAAACGTAAAAAAGATTTTAAAAAACCCTGGTCCCGGCCCGGCCCATCGCTGGAGCGACACTCATAGCCAGAACTCCCAGGGCCGGTGTTTGAACCACAGTCAGAAACGGGAGGAGCGAGTAGAAACAGCCTACATGTATAGACCCCCAACTGTTACATACCTGTACCGCCTGCCGTCTGCCGCCGTGTAGATGCGCTGGCCCAGAGCGTCCACGATGAACCGCTGGACGGTAGTGGTGGTCGTGGTGGTGATGAACACGATGTTCCCCTCGTCGTCATACCTGTAGCGCCGTCCGTCTGACGCCGTGTAGATGTCGTTCCCGCCGAAGACCAGGTACACGATCTCTCCATCATCATCGTACCGGTACCTGCAATTGTATGTTATAAATATGCCAGGCCAGAAGATCCACACGAGTCTCGGCCTAGTCTCGTGTTCTTTCGAGACTAGGTCACTCCGTGATCAAGATGTACAGTGGACATCG